AGTGGTAATCTTGGGATTTTTTTCTGTTCAAGTTTCAAATCGTGTGTAAATTTAATACACTTCATCTTCAGCATGTTTAGTGCCACTTTTGTAAGTAACCACGCCCCCGTCCAGGCCACGCCCCTTTCCGTTTTTTCATCACTCGCCATTGCCATCACTGTATATGGTGCTGTATTAATTTCATTTCGTATAGCATACATATATAAAAGTGGAAAGTTACTGTAGAGCTGAACCATTACCCTTTATCTCCGTGTACATAATAAATAAACATCACCTAGAGATGCATTGACTAGTGAAAATTGCTTGATTCCTTCTGTATAGATAGTACGCAAAGGGCAGTAAATAATTGTGAAAGCTCAGAATCAGGCTTTACAGGGTTAATTTTTTGCAGGGTGGAGAGATCTTATCAGGGAGCCAAGAGGGGGTGTTCACTTCTGGCACAGTCCTGCCTCCTGATTAGCATTTAGTGTAACTAGTGTTACCAGTGAGCCATTAGTGTTTCAGTTGTTGTACTAGTGAACATTTTGTCGTCACTAGTTAACTAACAAATCAAAAGACCATTTAACTAGTCGACTAGTGAGAAGGGTGACATCCACTAGTTCCACGAGTGCAACATTTTGACTTCACTAGAACTAGTTTTTTTTGACTTCACTAGAACTAGTTAAGTCAAAATGTCGCACTCGTGGAACTAGTGGATATTTGGGGCATCACTGGTGAGCAAGTAACATTTTTGGACTCACTAGTTTGATATCAAGGTTTTAAGAGTCTTAATCTAGTGAACTCATCAATGTTTTATCCTTCACTCGTTAACTAGTGGATATTTCAGCTCCCACTAATGAACGAGTGCAGGAAATCATAGGCCACTAGTTAACATGTTAGAAGAATCCACGTTTCACTAGTGAACATGTTAACACTTTATTTAATCTTACAAGTTAACTAGTAAGACTTTGAACCTCACTAGTATGGTCCAGTGGGCCACGAGGGCATTAAAAAGCTGACAAGCTGGGAAGTTGCCACTGCTAGTGCGCTTCCAGGGGTCACTAGTTTAATTTTTGTCAGCACTAGTTGGACTAAAGTGGCACTAGTTGATGAAAATGAATGACTAGTCAGAGTTTGGTTGCAACTAGTACGACAAAGTGCATCACTAGTGCGGCTGGCTGATTGTCCAACTAGTGCTGAAGACCGAACTTGTGTAACACACAAATGTCTGACATCAGGGATGTGGAATCAATGTTCAAATGGCTTGCCATACCTTTCATTTCGATTTACTTTTACCTGAGATACAATGGCACCAATGTTCCCTTTAAGCTGCACAACTGCACACTGGTCGCACACTCTCAGCGCACATGAAAACCTATCCAGCGCAGTGAACGCAATGCAAATGAATCAGGTACAGAGTAAACCTTTTTTTTCTGTATCAAACAAACATCAACGCTCACACTCACACCTAGGGACACATTTTGAGTGTTCAATCAGCCTGCCATGCATGTTTTTGGAATGTGGGGGGAAACCGGAGTACCCGGAGAAAACCCACGAAGGCCTGGGGAATAAACGCAAACTCCACACATGGAGGCCATGGCCCGGGATCGAACCCACGACCTCTGCACTGTGAGGTCGATGCGCTTATCACCACTGGGCTCCGCTATTTTGGAAAATATTTTTGCTTAATATGTTGTAAAATAAACCAAAACTGACAAATGCGCAGATGTTATTCATTTCTGGCAGAGGTAGTGCGGAGAGTGTGGGATGGGACACGACAAAGCATTTATGTTGAGGGCACCAAAATGGCTGGCTGAGAGCAACACCGAAGGACAATGGAACAGATAAAAACAGACTTTGTAGATTTGTTCACAGGAGATGGTTGTCTGGCTGGAGAATACAAAATGCAAGTGGATGAAAGTGTGAAACTTGTGGCAATGACCAAAGCGACGTGATCCGGCACCATGATGAGGCCTCTGAAAGAGGAGCGAACGAACCTTGAGATCAGAGGTATTTTCATTCCTGTGGACTGTGGCACAGACTGGATTAGAAGAAGTCCAGGGGTTTTCCAGGAAGCGGTGCGGACAAAAGACAATTAAACTGAACCCAGAAAAGTTCAAACTGAGACAAAGTGAGTGAATATTCAGTGATATTTTAAAAGCATCACATGCAAAAAATAATTACACTGACATTTGTAATATGTGATTCATGGCCCAAATGATACAGGATAGAGACACTAACATTTACATCAAATAAACACAAATTAGTATTTTGTGCACAGATTAGATTAATATAATTTCGTTGCTCATTAAAAAAAAAAAACTCCACATCCCAACTGGCCTTTCCAACTCTGAGCGCCAGCAAAGGTGATTGACAGCAAGTGTGTGGGGAGAAATGAGCACATGTAGCAAAAGTGAAGACAAAATACATTTTATATGATTCAAGGACTGTTGAATTTTGAGGAGGAAAAAAAACGAACTAATACAAATGACCAAACCTCCTCTGAAAACGACATACGACAAACTACATTTAAAAACCACAACTAACAACCAAATGAAAACTAACTCCAATGGAGATTCCAAAAGTATGATAACCCTGATGAAAATGCTAGATTTTCTAATTCATTACAACAACCAAAAAATAAACTTTTCAATGCACTAAAAGAAAACTTCAGCATCCCGGTAAGAAGGTACATACAATACAATCAGCCTTGGCGCACACAAACACACTGAAACCTGCTCAGATGAGAAGTGAAAACTTCAAGGATGACTGCTTGTCTCATCAGACACACTTGGGATTCTTAAAACACTGGCATGACCCAGAAGTGTCCCTTTTGGGACATCCCGGGATCCCATCCTGAGATCACCCCCAAGACTGTCCCCCTGTGGGACAGAGTGCAAGGGCAAACAGACAGGCAAAGGTGTTTGGACTAATGTCCCAAAAAGGGACACCATTGGCAATATTAGGGAGCACCAAAACCTCTGGGTCATGCCAGTGTTAATCTGATACTTCCATGAGAATCTTTGGCCAAAAACTGTGCAGGCAAAAGGTTTCTCACCAGTGTGTGTTCTTGTGTGACGTTTTAAGTTTCTCTTATCAGAGAATCTTTGGCCACAAACTGCGCAGGCAAAAGGTTTCTCACCAGTGTGGGTTCTTGTGTGACATTTTAAGCTACCCTTATGCGAGAATCTTTGGCCACAAACTGCGCAGGCAAAAGGTTTCTCACCAGTGTGTGTTCTTTTATGAACATTTAAGTGTCCCTTACGAGAGAAGCTTTGCCCACAGTCGGTGCATGCAAAATGTTTCTCACCAGTGTGTATTCTTTTATGAACATTTAAGTGTCCCTTATGAGAGAATCTTTGGCCACAAACTAAGCAGGAAAAAGGTTTCTCACCAGTGTGGGTTCTGACGTGTAATTCCAAAGCACTTTGACACGCAGACATTTTCCCACAGTGAGAACATTTCCAGGGTTTGCTGTGTGTGTTACATGTCAGATCACCTTCAGATTCATCTTCATCCTCCTCCTCATCATCATCTGCATTTGACGACGTGTTGTCACTATTTGAACGTGGAGCAAAGAGGCCATCTGCTTTTGATTCTTCCTGGTGGTTTCCAACACCTTTTGTTGTCATGTGTTGACATGAGCTGCTGCTGGGAGCCTCTCTGTCCGCCTCATTTAAACTCTTCAGAAGGACACCAGTAAACGGCACCTTGCAGATAACCTCCTCCTCCTCCTCTTCTTTGATGTCAGGTGACTCATCCGCCTCCACTTTCGTGCAAGGGTGCTGTAGCTCCTCCTCTTTAATATATTGGGCCTCCTGCTCCACGTCCTCTTTCAAGTGGGAGATCTCTTTTTTCTCCTCTTCCTCTTTCATGTGATAAGGCTCTGCATCTAGCCGCACAGGACAAACATCTTCGCTGATGTCTGAAAGACACAAGAAGACAAACACGTGTGGAATTATGGTTTAGATTTAGAATGAAGGATATTAGAAGAGCCCGATCAACACATCAACACAGATACATATCACATATCACAAGATACCATGAGCATGTGCTGCGCGTGCGCGCGCGCGTACACACACACACACACACACACGCACACACACACACACACACACACACACACACACGCGCACCCTGATGAACTACATTAAAAAAAGACATGGCAAGGCACAGAGAACCATGAGGAAAAGAGCACCCAATGGGAGCTAGCTGACGTGTCAGTCAAATCAACCCCCCTTCCCTGGAAAAAAACAAAAAAGTTTCCAAAATGTAAGAACGCAGTCCTCAAGTTCAGGAAAGATAAATGGGAGAAAAGTAATAAAAAGTCAATTGACTCTCTTGACCGCTTTTGACAGAATACAATACAATACATCCTCATTTATGTAGCACTTTCACAACAGCTGCAGCGATAACAAAGCACTTAACAAAACAGTTAACAAACTAAAATAATAAACACAACACATAACATGCTCCACAACACGGACAGTCGTGCAATCCTAACCACTTTTCCCTCACACGCGTTGTTGTTTAAAGCAGTTTGAGATGAAAGAGAGAATCAAAGTGTCCTTTCACCAGAAAGAGGAGATAATCAAAGTGTCCTTTTACCTGTGGATCAGACATCGCGTAAAATGGTTAATGACAGGAAGAAAAGTCGGACGTGACCTATAGAGAAACGAGTAATGACCAAACCTGCTCCGCGTGAGCCAAGTCAAGATCAAGATATGTTGAAAACAGCCCCGCTGTCCTCTTTTGCCCCACAATGTTGCTCCTCGTACTCCACCCTTCCCCTTGTGCACATTTTTAGGGAAAATCAAAACACTCAATCTGTTTTGTGATGCAGCGACTAGCCAGCTAGGCCATCTCAGCTAAGAAAGCTAAACTAGGTTAGCTAGCTTAGCTGTTGTCGTGGTTCAAAGCTTCTTCGAAATGTGACGTGGTTTGCGTCAGCGCTGATTGGTTGAACCAGGTGAGTTCACGCACAGCAGAGAGCAGTGGACGATCGACTGCTGAGGCGTGTTTCACTCGAGTGGCGTTGCTACAGTATGTGCATATTATGGAGCAGCTCCCGGAGAAACGCAAATTGTCCGCCGTGTTGAGCCATTTTGATTTCCTTTTGGAGAATAAAATATTTATTCAAATCTCCTTGTCTCACCAAGTGTCACTCGGATTTTTGACGTCTCATTCCATTTTAATTGAAATTAATTTCAAGGTAGCTCTTCGTTTACGTTTCACATATTTTATTGCAGGTGAAATGTCAAATTTGCCATACAGAAATATCATATACCAACACATAGCACCTCTGCAACTACATCTGGCATGTTACTTATCATTATTAGTTTGTTTTATTTGGAAACTTCAAAATGCCAATTTTGTTAGGTTTGGTTTTTTAGACGACCTGTGGCAATATTTGGATAATGAGGTAGGGAGACTGGGAAAAAGTGCAACAGCTGATGCTATTCTGAAGTTCAGCGATACCTGGCAGAGGGGAAAATTGCACGCAGTCAAGACCCGCTGTTGTAATCGAAGACCCAAGACACTACTTTTCCAAACCTCTTCCACCTCGCAAAGCAGTTTCTCTGTTCGCCGGCATCACCAGTGCCATGCGAGCGTGTGTTCTCCACAGCAGGGTATTGAAATAGCATGTAAGAAACGCAACAGACTGAAATTCAAAACACTGGAGCAATTTATTTTTCTGAATAAAAATTTGTGAAGACAAAGCCCACAAGCATCCTCATTTACCTAATTTTCACATTATTCAAACATATTGAATAATACAATATCAATGCACAGATGTGAATGATATTGTATACACTTCATCATCAAATCAATCAGTTCAGTCTGTCAAGTGGTTTGCCTGCAGGGATTTTGAAAGTGCAGCAGGTGTCAGTGGTCAGCGACACAGTATCAACAGAGTGTGTCATTGTGTCAACACACTTCATGACACCTCATGGACCCATCACTAGTTCTCTGTGCCTTGCCATGTCTTTTTTTAATACGGTTCATCAGTGTGTGTGTGTGTGTGTGTGTGTGTGTGTGTGTGTGTGCGCGCGCGCACGCGTTTTCACTGTCTGATCGTGGAGCTCAGAGGCAATCTGTTTTTGATTCTTCCTGGTGGTTTCCAACACCTTTTGTTGTCATTTGTTGATATGAGCTGCTGCTTGGAGCCTCTCTGTCGGCCTCATTTGTACTCTTCAGAAGGACACCAGTAAAGGGCACCTTGCAGATAACCTCCTCCTCTTCTTCTTCTTTGATGTCAGGGGGCCTATCTAGAGGTAAGATCAGGCCAAAAAATCCAGCCCGACCCGGCCCGCGGGTATTAAAGCCCGACCCGGCCCGAGCCCGACCAATTAACTTGATTTGCAGGCCCGAGCCCGAAGAAAACCCGAAATTTCATATTTTATTTGTGAGGACTCGTGAGGAGGAGGGGTGATTTATGATAACAAATTGAAGCCTGTCATTTGTAACGAAATCTAAGTTAAACAAGACTGTATGAACATTTACATCTTTTATATTTCTGTTTTTGCAGAGGATACATTAACTGACAATTCTCCATCATTGATGGATTTTTTTTTAGGAGTTGATGGGAAAAATTTAAGGCCGTCCCGTCATTTTGACGGGTTGAAAATTGGGCCATTAACCACAGCAGCAGTACGTCCTTATGAATCTAGCGCGGCACTTTGAGAGAGAAGCAGAGAGACAAAGAAAAACAATGACGGGTGGATACTCGACAGAGACTGGAAGGAGTTCTTTGAATTGCCAGTGCAATAGTTTAGTAGAGTACGTGTTGTGATGAGGCGACTTCTGTTTTTTTGCGAACCACGGACTCTCGTGGCCAAAACTATTCAGAGCCTCGAAACGCCTCAGTGCACTGTGATGTTTGGATCACAGTGACATTTTTAAAAAGTCAGCAACCCGACCTGAAGCAATGATTGACATTTTAGGCCTCGGGTCTGGTCGGGTCGGACTCGGGCTTTAGATCTTACCTCTAGGCTCATCCACCTCCGCTTTCGTGCAAGGGTGCTCTAGCTCGTCCTCTTTAATATATTGGGCCTGCTGCTCCTCTTCCTCTTTCAAGTGGGATACCTCTTCTTTCTCCTCTTCCTCTTTAATGTGATAAGTCTCTGCACCCAGCCTCTCAGGACAAACATCTTCGCTGATGTCTGAAAGACAAACACGTGTGGAATTATGGTTTCGATTTAGAACGAAGTTTATTAGAAGAGCCAGATCAATCAATGAAAGTGAATTTGGATAGCACTTTTCAAACATAAAAGTGCAACTCAAAAGTGCAATTAAAACATCTAAATTACAACATAAAAAGAGGATCCTTCTCCTCCCTCCACAACATACAGATACATATCACCAGATGCCAATGCGCACACACACACACACACACACGCGCGCGCACCCTGATGAACTACATTAAAAAAAGACATGGCAAGGCACAGAGAACCATGAGGAAAAGAGCACCCAATGGGAGCTAGCTGACATGTCCATCAAATGAACCCCCCACCCCACCCAGAAAAAAATACAGTCAAACAGTTTCCAAAAAGTAAGAAAAAGCGAAATATTCTCGGAATAAAAATATAGAAGTTTGCAAAAAAGAGAAATATTCACGGATAAAGAGAACAGAAGTTCGCGGAAAAAAAGGTACCCTGGATCGGGTTCTTCTGTGTAAGAGGAGGTTCAAACGTTCAAAAAAAAAAAACAAAAAAACAAAAAATTACTAAACCACAAAAAAATATGAAATCAGGAAAAATAAAAAAAGATGCAGGGAGAGTTTATTAGGGAAAGTGAATGGCTCCATCTGAGACAAATACCAAACCATTCTGAACGAGTGTTATTGAGTGAATAAGTGAGAAATGCATGTGACGTGTGTGTGTGTGTGTGTGTGTGTGTGTGTGTGTGTGCGTGTGTGTGTGTGTGTGTGTGTGGATGGGTTACCAGAAAAAGAACGAGCGAGTGAGAAAGAACGACTGACAGACTGGATGAGGAAGTGTTGTGAGGATGGAAGGTTTCCTCCAATGTCTTCAACTGCAAGAAAGTTGTTGAAATGAAAGATAGAGCAAGGATGATGGCAATGGGATGTGTGTTAAAGTTGTCCCGCGTGGCCATCAGGGAGGGAAGTGTTGGTCTGGTACCGCCAACACCCAAAAGGCCCTCTGCGCTGCCATCTTACTCGGAGGAGAAACTACTTGCAACATAGTCTCCAACTGGCCCATGCATGCTGTCACCTTGCCGTGAAATTAGGAAAGCGCTGAGTGAAGTTCAGGCTCCAATATTGAATGTAACTACAGGCCGACTTGAAGTCGATGTAGACGATCCAACGTCTCTCATTCACTCACAACAGACATCAAACATGAATAAAGTTGCAGAAACTTTGCCTGCTGGGGTGACCGCTGCCATGAGAGAATTAGAAGATAAATTCGGAAAAGTTGCAGACTTGAAGGCCGACCCATTCACACGTCTGACTCAGATAAGACTATACATGACAGAATTAAACAGACAACAAGAGGTTCCACAACATATTAGAGATCGACTTAAGAAAATCACCACTGAACATGAAGACGGAGCAAACACTGAGGCAGAAGAGCAGAATCGTGCCCTTCGCGCTGAACGAGATGCTGCCCAACTGAAACTGGAACAGGAAGCTGCTCTCTATGCTGCTGGACACGCATCCTTCAAATGAAGAGATGGACAACAGGTTCCACATTGCTCAATTACAAAATCAATTCTAAAAATTGAGTTGTCATGTCCAGACTCTTTCAGATGCACACCCTGACCCCGTTTTGGACCGAACCAGATTCTTGCAGACCCAGAAGAATCTTGCGAAAATCCTTCTCTTCAAACAGCGCAGAGAGCGGTTACAGGACAAATGTTAACAGCAGGTGAAATCCGCATTCTCCTAACACAAGCATGTCCGCTTTCACAATTAAATACTTTGTTGCAAAACTCAGGCTTCTCTTCTCTCCCCGACAATCAGGCCCTTACACGAGAAAATTACATGACCTTGTCCACAGCTTTAAACGCTTTGTTTCCCCTCCCTGAGTGTGTTATCTCAGATTTGGTGTTCATTCCCAAAGGAGATGAGGAGTGTTCCGAGCAGCCATTTTGAAGGGCGTTTCCAAGTCTGTGATGCAGGCCATGGAAGCCAATCCGGACCTTCCTGGTGCTAAGCTTGACCGTTGGTTGTCAGATCTTAAACATCATCTGAGGAGATGTGACGGGTGTCACAACTGTGACTGTCTTGAGCTCCACGATGCTGCCGCCTCAATAACACGAATAATAATAATAACAATAATAATGTGGAGGTGGCTTTTTCCTTCTTTAAATACTGCAACACAGTATGGCAGGAGGGCTAGATGAAGTCGCATTGGGGTCTCGGTCTCGGACATAACATGCGACTTTCTTGTCGGCTCTCCCTTAACAAAACATCCTCCATAACAAAACAAAATACACAATAAAATCAAATTCACAACATGGGTGATCGTATCGTAATTATGTACAGAAAAAGGAGAAAAAGAACT